CTCATAAATACTCACCATGTGTCACTCAGACCACTTCTCCAGTGATGGCTGGCAACAGTAGTCCTGTCACACATTCTGGGACCATTTCTACAGCTCAGACTCACCGTGGAAAGCCGCCTGCAGCTGGTAACCGGCCACAGAGACAAGCGGATCGCTCTGGATCCCGGACGAGATTACCTGTGGCTTCCACGGTGGATACTGGAGTGGGCGTTGGAAGTCAGAATAGTCCATCTGCTAATCGCAGCATAGTCCAGACCTCACCCTCAGTGTGCAGCAGTAATGGGCATAGCAAGAGTTCTTCCTCTAGATGGTCGACAAGCATGTCAACGTCAACAACTCCATCTACCTCTTCCCAGTGTGTTGTAACTACTCCGACTTCTAGTGTGAGAAGCGTTAGTAGACAGAACAGCCAGAGTCCCTGTCCCACGTCGGGTGCCACCACAACTTGCAAATCCCAGACCACCTCTACTGTCATAGCCAGCTCTTCGTCATTCAAGACCAACAGCAGCCATACAATAAGTGGAGCAACAACGTCCCTAACTTCTACTTCCACCACTGCCACCACAACAAGAAACACATCATCACCAGTCGTCCAAGAGAAAATTGTCCACACCATTGGTAACAGTTCAGGGATAAGACCACCACCACCGTCAACAGCAAGTTCTAGTTCTGTAATGAATACTTCTAACACAGAAAATTCTGCCGTTAATAATAATAATTGCCTCAACTATGAGTTTTGCAAGAATGAGAAATTGAACAAGTATTATCAGCGCCTGTCGGAATATTCAGTTGATAAGGTAAGTCTCTCATCTAGACAATCTCAGTACAAATTTAAGGCTTGTATTACTATTTATTAGATGATTAAACAGTTTAGGATAATTAACTGCCCTCGTTCAGCAGAGACGCACTAACTTTTTTCCTGTTGTGCATTTTTCAGTTAAAACGGATGACAGACCGCGAACTCCTAGATTTAGGGCTGACTAAAAGTGCCCTGACAAAGCTACGGCGTGTCCTGGCTGGTTTAGAATCCCCTAATTACCACTGCCCAAATGGCTTTACCAGTCCGCCAGCTACCCCACATGCGCACTCATTACCCCAGGCAAACCATACATCTTTCAGTCAATCAGAGAATGCCACACAAAATCAAATGATTATGCCTAATGTTAACCAGAGCAGTTTACAAAGTCAACCCAGTTCAGTGCACAATCCTCCTATCACCACCATCACCTCCAACAGTACACACAATGTGCACACGACACACACATCAAATACCACACACTCAGCACTGCAGAGCCAAACACAAAGTCATGGAAAGACTTTTCAAAACACAAATATGGACCACCCTGTAAATGGAACTTCTGAACGACAGAATGGCTCTCCCCCCAACACCACTCTCACCCCTACTCCTACCACCACCACCACCACTACCACCTCTTCCCCTTCCTCAACCTCCTCCTTCTCTTCCTCCTCCTCCTCCTCCTCTTCGTCCTCCTCCTCCTCCTCTCCCTCCTCTTCTTCCTCTTCCTCCTCTTCTTCCTTGGAATCTGAAGTGCCATCATCTTCCCTGAGCACCACCACCTCTGGTGCTGTCACTGTGGTAACTATCACATGCGCCAGCCTTATATCCCCAGCTGTTTCTCTTGCTAGCATTGCTGCAACAGCAAGCACATCTGCCTCTCCAGCTGCAGCAACACAAGTCACTCAATGCCATACAGTTACAATTCCACCAAGTCAGAAATTACCCAGTGTTTCACAACCACCACCATTTTCCTCATGTAGTGGAAGTTCCGCTACACCTGTAATCACTGCAGCTATGAACGTACAGAGTTCTCATTCAAACTGTAGCTCTGCCATACCTTCCACTACCTCTCATCCCACATCTGCTGTGCCTACTCCTGTCTCAGCCACTAACTGTGTTCCTCACTACATGACAACTCCACCTCCGTGCATCCAGCTGAAGACTCCACCGCTATCAGGTGGCTCCAGTCAACACCACATAGCTACTCAGCCTCAGCATGGCCAGCTTAGAACACCCCCACCTCCACTGTGTGTTCCTCCCCGCACACCTTCGCGAGAACCAGCTACTCCAAGCACAAGCAATGGGCTCAATATCAGTAATGGATCCCAGCAGGTCAGAAATGTAATTGCTTGAATGCCACTTTTCAGTTTTGTCTTACTAATATTTGTATAATGAAGACATTGTTATACTCTTAGTGTACTCTTCATATAATGGTTTTACTAAGGTCCTGCCTCTTTTTTACGTCACGGCATTCATGGCCTTCACCTTTAGTTTTAAATATTCTTCACATCTATCTACCTTTGTTCTTTTCCTCTTTATTTATCATTCCCAGTCCTCATGCATAGTTCTTCAACCTCCTCCTCCTCATCATCAACACCTTTCTCTTCCTTTTCCTCCTCCTCTTCCCATTTCTTATATCCGTTCTCCTGTCTGCTCCTTCCCTTTCTACCTATTTGCCCAAATCTTCCTCTTTCCTCTTTCCCTGTGCTTTCTTTTCACTTTTCCCTTCTGTATCTCTCATTTCCTTATGCCATTCATAAGCAATGTTGTTCTTAAACTTTATTTATTCAGTTATGTGTATGTCAGTTACTCAGTCATTTGTGTTTTAGATATTTTTTCCTCAAGTGAATGACATTAACCCAATCACTATGGATTTATGTACTGTCCCCTTTAGTTTCTTGTGAATTTTACTACATATAGATGGCTCCACATGTGGTCAGCCACCAAGGAGTCTATTGACTGCTCCTGATTTCCCTATTCCTTGAAATTGCAGGAAAATGTGTTTTTCTTTCTAATACTATCGATATCAATATTGCTATTATTTTTACTGATTATTAGATTGTTGTTAAAGTCTTTGTAACATTAAAGACAAATGCAAATGAAGCTTTCCAAAAATCAAGGAAAAGGGTAAACGGGAGATAGGTAGGACAAATTACTGACTCCTTGGTGACGAAGCACTTGTAGAACGATCTATCTGTAAATACAATAAATAAACTTGTATTACAGTGGGTATGGCATGTATTCTTGCCATCCATGCTGATTGGGTTAATTCCCCTAACATTCTGCCTATTATTTGTTTGGTTGTTTGTTTCAGGTACATGTAAGGGTTGGGGTGTGGGTGGGTAGAGATTAGTTTTAAGGTATATCTATGGATGTACTAAAAGTAGTCTTATAGTTTGACTGATTAATACAATACCTTAACTGTAAAGTATATATGTCTTTTCTTTGCAGGCCTTCTACACTAGCAACAATGGACCAGGTGTAAAGAGTGGTGCAGCTGCCAGTTGTAGTATTGCAGGACCCACACCATCCCTACCTGGGAGTCTAACTGGTTATAGCAACCCGGTAGGCATGCACACCTCGTCTGGGAATATGCCGCTTCCTGCCTATACTTCTGCAGCAACTGTAGCTTATACTGTAGCCAATAATATGAACATGCCTGTTTATACATCTTCTGGGAACATGGGTGTTCCCCCACCTACTAACGGAGGGCTGATGCCTATGGTACCTCCAGGAAGTTCATATCCAACCACCTACTTGTACCCACTACTAGGGGGCCCTGCAGGCTCACATACCTACGTTCCTCCGGGGTCTTATGCTGCCCAGCATCCCCATAGACCTGTTTATATATCACATATGCAGCCAATGGGTCATGTAGCCCACATGAAGCCCACACATCAACCAGGAGGACATGTAGGCACTGGGGGTGGCAGTAGAGGTGGAAGTAGCAGCAGCAGCAGTAGCAGCAGTAGCATTAGCAGTGGCAGTGTACGAGGATTCAACAAGGTCGGGCAGAGGGGCCACGGTCCAATCAAAGGTGGCACGAGGTCGTCGGACTCTTCTCCTTCGTCCTCGCAGTACTCATCCCCGCCACAGACACCTAGTCCAGATCATACACGTGAGACAGATAAACGGGGTAAGTTTTACACATTTCTCCCGTCCTATGGTTATTATTGAATCGGTTTTGTTTGGTGATTTGTGTGAGTGTGAAGAAGTATGAAGTAAGTATTAGGTAATCCTGTATAATTTTGACAATGAGCTGTATATTTCAGATGGGGTTTTCTGCATTGTGTACAGTACTGTTGATAAAATCAAAATTTGCAGAAGTAAGCATGTTCATCAGGAAGAGATTGGCTCTGAGATAGATAATTTGCTATTGAAATATTGAATAGAAAACTTATTGTTTCGTTTAAGATTTTCTGTGATACAAGAATGGGTGGAGTATTTGATCTAATTTATTTACATATGATGTAGTTATTTCGTAAAACTGAGATTCTTTGTAACTAAGATATTAACTTTAGTATGTGAATCACAAGCTTTGTAGTAATGAATATAGATATTTGACAGTAAAATGTTTGTGTTCCCCTCAACTTTGTCAAAAGCTTCAGATCTTAGAGAGACTTGATTTATTATTTTTTATGCTCTTCTTCATGTGAAACCATTTTAAAGCAAATGCATTTTTCCTTAGTTGAATGATCCTGGGTAATGGGAGCTGTAACATATTTTTTTTTTGTTCAGAATAAGTTTAGAAAAACTGACGAAGCAAAAGTAACTTCTTATTGTGGTGCATGAAGTTAATAGAGTTCTAGCTTCATAGAGTCTGCTCTTTCAGACTAACCAGTAGAGATAACAGGGAATAGAAATACACCTTTATTGATAGACAAATTATCAGGGCAATAACTAATACAATATTTTGCCATTCACTTGATGACAAGGCTGGTGTGATACTTTTTCTTTTTCTCGTATTTTTGTTGTTACCATGCTCTTATAGCTATGAATACTTGTAGTAATGAAATGTCTTAAGTAGATACGTGAGCTCTTTTACTCCTTAATATATTTAGTTTTGAGACCATTTTACTTCAGGTAAAAGTTTTCCTTAGGATTATTTCTTTACAAATTATTCACAAATGCCATGCCATTTCATTCTCAAGTCAGTTGTTATATTATTTCCATGTTTTTTACAGGTAAAAATGATGGAACTGAACCTGGGGAAGCAGGGGAAAATGCAGGATTAATAGGGTCAGGTGCTAGTGAAGAAGGAACTCCACCCCCATTGCACCATCCCCCTAATCCTGTCCTGATGCCTCCCCACACTGGCCTGGCACAACCCCGTTATGTGCAGTACCAGCAACTAAGCTACATGGGTTTTCACCAGACAGGTATAAGGTATCAGGGTTTGCCCTTGTCAGCCCAGACACACGTGGTGGCTCCTAGAAATCCTCTTCCGCTGAATGGGGACAAGTCCAGCCGTGAGACTACGCCCCCTGCACCAGTTTCCTTACCACTGGTTCAGCAAGATCCACAGTGCTGTATACGATCTACTGACACTAATGTTGCCCCGACCACATCAGCTGGAGGGAGTCATGGGCGTAATGGTGGCTCTCCTCACACAGTACCCTCCCACCCAGATGGTTCTTTGCCTCCTGTAGCTCTCACCCCTGTCCCAAGTATTGCCTCAGCCACCACGGCCCAAGTACCTCCTGGTAACTTGTGTTCTGGAGCAAGACATAGTAATGTACAGTACAATGCCACAAGTTACCCAGTGCTCATGGGTACACACATGTTTCCTCACCTTCCAGGATTTATGTCGGCCCATAGCTCTGCTCTGTCAAATGGCTTTGTATCCCCTTCATTACCTCCTAACATAGCCTTTCCCCCAATGGGCAATGGAATGAATGCAGAATTTGGTGTATATGGAGGTCAGTATCCGGTGTTAGGAGGTAACTCTCAAGGTGGTGGTGGTGGCGGTGGTGGTGGTCCGGGCACTGCTTGTGGAACCCCAAATGTGATGGGCCCCCCGTCTACTCCGGGCCCAGGCCTTGCTGCAGGGCTGCCGTACCCTCACCACTATGTCCTGCCCCACACACCCAATCCGTCCGCCGGTGCAAAGAAGACTTGCTACAACTGTGGGCAGGTGGGTCACCGCGGTGCTGAGTGCAAGGAGGCAAACATAGAGGAAATGTGCAAACGTACCAAAGACCGTCCGGTCTGAGTACAAAATATCATGGTGCAATAATAAAAACACAGCCACCCATTATGCCAGCACTGTGGAACAGAACTCTCAGCACAACTGACAAAGCTACCTTAGGTCAAGGGCTGAAAATTGTGTGTTGATAGTCATCATCATTTGCAGTTTTGAGCATCAAGCTGACTGTGGTTTTAAAGTAAATGTTGTTTTACTTACATAGACTAGTCCATGACGAATGCAGATGTAAGAGTGGTCATGTTATTGGTCAATCTAGTGCCAACAATTTTCCTATCAAAACTCATATTATTTCATCTGATAGGGTTACAATTAGGAATGATGGTTGATATAAGTATGCAGCTGAATTATTTTTCAACAGTGAGGAGTTTATAGTTCTGAAATGAATTTTTATTTATTGAAGATTAAAAGGAATATGTTAAGTATTGTGTATGTTAACACTATTTGTGATTATTGATGAGTATGTAGTCAGTGAGTATTCAGGAGGCCAAAGAAGTGACAGAAGAGGATGGATAAGGCCAGTGATATTTATTGTTTAGCTCGTGGGAGATAATTCTGTCAAGGACAGGAAAATCTGTTGCATTAGTGTCATTAAATTTATTATAAATCACTTTTTTTGTTTTGGAAGTATAAAAGTGATACCTTGAACAATGTTCAGAAACTTTTTTTTTTTTTTTTTCACATTGACAAAAAGGTGAATTTTGCATCAAATTCTGTGAGACAGCTTTTTCATCTTATAATCTACATCTGGGTATAAAGAGTTAATTTAGAAATTGTTTGCATGTGTAATTGGAGTTGTGAAGCTGAGTTACAAAGAGGTTGGGTCAATATTTCTTAGAGAAAGTGACTCAAGACGTACTTTCCATATTCAATATTTGTATGAAGGCAATCAGATTCTTTGGCAGCTTTTAAAAAATGCACCAGAGTCTAATGAATCAAATTAAAAGATCATGAAAAAATGACACTCCCTGCCATAACTATAGTGAGATTCATATTACAATACAAGCATCCAAAGAATATATAGAGATTTAGTGCAAATCCAGGTGACTTACTAATGCCCTTTCATGTTTGATTAAAACAGGGTCCAGATGCTTATGCTCATATTACCTGATATTATTATTCTTTATGTGAGGCCATAATATTTTCTAAGTCACGTCGTAGTACCCAGTGAGTAATTTTTTTTTTTTTTTTCTTTCTTTCTTTTTTATATGCTTTTCTTTCTTTTTTCTTTTATGTGCCCAGCACCCAGTTTTGTGTTGCGTTGTATATCTTTAATCACGGTTAGGAGAGAATAGCTCTTTAAAATGAAGGTTCCATGGAAGATTACAATATCCCCACCTTGGTGAATGCACTTTTACAATGTGGGGGTTGCATAATTAAACGTTTCTGAAGAGAAAAAGTAAAAATAAGATACTTGTGTATACCTGTGCCTCTGAATATTTGTAATTGTGTTAGAACTCTTAATGGAGAGATATTAGTACTATGTTCAGTGTTAATTGTACAACTCTCAAGATTAGGCATGAATCCTGAAGATATAGACGACTAGAGAAGAGTTCTGAAACGCAAGACAGTGCTGCTAAGTATGAATATTTATACAGTATGTGATTACGTCATTGCTCTCTCCAGCACGGTATGGATACGCAGTTTCGATATTTTATTCCGAGAGGTTTGCAAAGGACTGTGGTCGAGCTTGAGAAAACGGCAATAAGTTTAGCGTGGTCAGACATCCATTTAGGAAATTGTGTTCTTGTTGATATTTGTTTTTGTTTTCATTGTTATTAATTTTTTGCATTTTTTAAAACAAAAAACAAAAAATAATAAAAAAAAAAGAAGTGCATATAGATTTAAAAAAAAACAGGAGAGATTATTTTAGCAAAAAGTGGAACAGTTCTTCTTTTTATTTTTTCCTTTTTTCTTTCTCCTTTTCCCAATTACTATTCTTTCCATTATCCTTACTTTATCCTAGCCACAGAAGAGAAAAAAAAATGCCCTCAATATACCCTTGCTTGGTCTTTGTAGATTATCTAGGAAGTTACAAATGAATGAATATTTTTTCTTTCTTTCTTTCTCTCTTTTTCTTTTTTTAACTTTAGATGTTATATCCTCCAAGGGACCTGGTCTGAAGAGTGTGGTTTCACATAGCATTGTAATTTTGTAATTTGTGAGACAGTTTCTTGTTCAAAGTTGTTTTTCGAAGGGCAGTAGAAAGGGTGATCTTGAAGGGAATTGAGTGATGTTTATGTAGACTTTAACACACCAATATTATTTTTTTATTTTATTTTTTCCCCCTCCTTTTCTTTCTTTCTTTCATTCTGTCTTTTTATTTTTTTCTTTCTTTCTGTCTTACTATCTTTCTTTTCTTTCTTTCTGTCTTTCTGACTGTCTTTTCTATCTTTCGTTTCTTTCTCTCCCCTCACTCTCTTTGATCATTTTTGTTCTTATTATAGTTGATTTTTTACATAATTCATGTTAATTTTGTACAAGCAATTTTGTATTTATCACTTCATTATGAACTACATCATCTCTTTATTAGTACTACTACTTCTACAACAACAACAACTACACTACTATACGACTGTTACTACTACTACTTCTTCTTCTTCTTCTTCTTCTTCTTCTTCTTCTTCTTCTTCTTCTACCTCTACCTCTCCTACTCTTACTACTACTATTATCATTATTATTATTATTATTATTACTGATTTGATATTTTTATTGTAATTTTTTATACTTTACTTGGGGACAATATCAGCTAATCAATAAATATATATATAATATATATATAAATGTATTTTGTTCTGATGTTTATTTTAGATTTGACAAATGTGACTCCATGCCCTAGAAAAGGTGGGGGGGGGGGGGGGATGAAATAAATGTGATTTGAAAATACCGAAGTTTAAAGTCCTAGTGAGCGTAGATGTATGTTATTGTGCATGTGTGGGTGTGTGCAAAGGCATGCGAGTGTAGAGTTATCACTTTGTAACTTGTAAGGAAAGTTGGCCGAAGAGCTTTGTTACATATCAGTGATTCATTATCAAAGTTGAGAAAATTATCTGCTGAGAGACCGAGCCTGATTAGATTTTTTTTTTTTTTTTTTTTCTTTTTCTTTTTTCTTTTCTTTCTTCTGTATGGTGTCTTGAAAACATTGTATACTTGTTAATTTCTCAGTCATGGACAGGTGGAGTTCTCACAGCTTTCATGAATGGTGCCTATTACTGTGTATGTATATATCCAATACTTTTGTAGGACGTAAAAACAAGAAAAGGAAAAAAAGAAGAGAGATGTTTGATCTCCGTAAATGCACCATATGATTGTGTGCAGAATCGAGATTTCTTCCACTTTCCTCTGTTCTGTCTGTCTGGATAACGTTCTTGTCCACTCCCATTTTCTTTATCATATCTTCTCTTTCCTGATCCTCTATCTCTGTGTTGTTTTCTTCTCTGCTATCATCTTTGTCTTACCCTCTCCTGAGAATATTATTGTCAAAGATTAACTCTTTAAAATTCTCTTTGTCACCGAATCAAAACATTGTTGCTTGAGTTTTTGTCTTTTCTCTAGCATATCATGACTCTTTATCCTTCCACTTATAGGAACCAATTATCCATTTGTGATTTTCCTCCTCATCTTAGACCACATAAGTTATGAGTACCTGGTAACACACAGACCATGTTGCCACTTTTGAACTTTGTAAGGCCCCCCCTCCCTCCCTCTCAATAATAACCTAGATAGTATGCTTGTGCTTCAAGCTGCAAGCTATGCACTTGAATTTCCTTATTTTCTTTTCTTTGAGTGGACTATATGTTAGACCAAGTTATATAAGACAAAAAGAAATTGCTTTCACCTTTTGGAAGAAAGCTGATTGCCTTTGAACAAGTAGTATCTTTTGAGTATGCTTGCAGGCAAGTAAATGCCATTTGCTTTGTAATATAACATTACTAGCCTTGGTTGTGTCTAGGAAATCTTCTGTTAATAGTAGTGGGGAGGGGGAGTGATACTCTTCACGTAACTGAGCCAGAAATAGAAATGAATCCTCACATAACTTTGTTGTTAGGTTCCATAGATAGCATTTTTTTTCTATTATATGTCAGAAAAGTGAACTATTAAAACAAGCTTAACTTCTCTGCAGTGTAACTGCATTTGTTAAAACATTTAGCCTGGAATGCTTGAAAATTGTCAGATCAAAATCAGACCCAATGGAATTCCTGCCTTAGATTGGTACTGAGTATGTGTGTGGGAACATCTCAAGGTGCTTTCATTCTTCAGTATTTCAAGTTACAAGGATTTATAACTACAGTCCTAGCCATTGCAATCAAGATGAAAATATCCTTGCATCATCATTTGGTATTCTAGATCCAGAACCTGTGATACCTGTATAGGGACTTTGCTAAAGATACTGCTCTTCCATAGCTTAATCTACAAGTAATTAATATTTCTGGTCATAGAAATCCTTACAGTTATACAGATTTTCTGATTAACACTGTGTGTTTGTGTATGCAAGAGTGTGCGTGCATGCGTGCGCGTGTAATATGCTATATGTTTAGTATAATACATTCAAGTACATCTGTGCAAACACACCCATAAATGGATGTTCACACATACATCATGTTAAACAGTTGAAATATGTTTTACAGCCCAAAAGACAAAGCTTTCTGCCAGCTGGTAGGATTTTCTGTGACAAAAAGTAAGTCCCAAGAATTAACTTTTCTGATCTTGTGAAGGGAGAATGGTTTTCTAAGTAATCTGCCAACCATATATAGTTCCAGCTTCAAGTCTTTCATGCGTCTTGGCCCAGCATCAGCTTTCGTGCAAAAATCGGATAAGCCATTATGATTTTGAAGATAATAATTGTTATTATTGTTTTTATAATTATTATTAATGTAATTTTTTTCTTCTTCTTAACTGTTGTTTTATATTTTATTTTTTTTATTATTATTTCTTATTATCATTTTCATTTGCTTTTATTATTTTTATTATTATTTATTAATCCTATTTCTATGAAGATAATAGTTGGCATTTATGTTGTTCTTACTGTTGTTATTGTTATTATTTCATATGATAATCATGAGTCATACTGTTATTATTATTATTATTATTATTATTATTATTATTTTAATTACTGATTTTAAAAGATTTCCTGGCTTTTTATTGTATGTCATTAACAAGGTCTACAAGCACCTGAGTGATACTTGACATGCCTTCAATTTGTCATAAATACCCATTATTATGGAACATGTAGGGAATGAAGGATGGCATGCACTGGAAAAGATTTTACCTATAGAATGGCCTTAATTGCATTTGGCCAGGCTTTTTTTAAGAATTTAAAGTTGGAGTGGGTAGGTTCTGCTTCTCTCCCCCCCTCCCCCTTCTGTCTCTCTCTCTCTCTCTCTCTCTCTCCTTTTTTATCATGTCTTGCCAGTTATTCTCTGAGGGAAGCAGCTGGTTCCTTGGGGTAGAACTGATTTTTTTTTTTCAAGGGAAAGGTCTTGGTATCAATTGTCATTTCTCTTGTCGTTGGTGATGTTGGTGATGTTTCATCATGACAGTGCTTTCCATTGTCATATCTTTCACATGTAGAGAATTAGTTTTGTGCAATGCAAAATTGTTAATGAGTGTTATATTTCTAACATTTAATACATCTATTTGTTCTTTTTTTCATTTTTTGAGGAATCTAATGAATGCTATTGTTTAAATGAGCCACATATTGCAAAGAAGTGAGCATGGCCTTCACTCTGACCAAAAGACAGTGTGATAAGATTAGAGGTATTACATAGTCAATATTTTGTATGTATTCTTATTCTGGTCAAGATCAACATTATTGTTAGTAATAATGGGGCTAAGTCAATGCAGTGATCCACATTTATGTGTTTTGCCCCCACCCTGTGTTTTTGAGTATCTGTAGTCTATATTTTTATGCTAGTGAAGGAGATTAGACCATCAGGAAGGATGCTAAAAAGTGTGTGCGGTTGGTCTGCTTAATAGCAGTAGATGTTGTGATTGTTACTGATGGCAGTTTCTGCTATGCTTTTTCTTCTTACCAATGTTTTCATTACACTGTTTTATACAGGGAAAGTCAAATGATGAGTGTATTTTGTGTAGTATGGCCAAGGAGAGTATCCTCTTCAACCCAAAGCAGATATGTATTTGTGGGAAGGAATTTTGTTTTACTTAACATTTAAGTACAAAGGTTTGCATTTTGTAATGTTTGAATGGAGGTCATAGCTGGACCTTCATGGGTGATATTGTTATTGCACTTGTATATTTACGGAAATTCCAGGGGGAATGAGATGTACATGTCAGGAACATGAAAACTTATTGATGTGAGGGCATTGAAAGTTTTGAACAAACACCCACCAAATGTTTGAACATTTTTTTTTATTCATTTATTTATTTTATTTATTATTATTATTATTATTATTATTATTTTTTTAGAGATGCAACCAAGATTGTGTGGCTAAAAGCAACTGATGCGAGCATGTGAGTTCAGTCTGGGTCTGTGACATCTGATCTCTTTGAACAGTAACCAAAGTAGAACATTGTTTGTGATTTTTTAGTCATACAGAGATTTCATCCAGAATGAAGTGTTTCAGATTACATTGTGCAAGACAAAGAGACACCAAGGAGCAATAAGCAATGCATTCTTTTCTTTTTCTTTTCACTGTTTTGCTTCAATTCTCAATTACTGTGCTTTTTTTTATTTGACTTGTTTATGGTAGAGGTCAGGTGTTTTTATCCAAGAAATATACCAGTCTTATACAATGTTTTTTGAAATGTTCATAATTTTCCAAGTCTTTCGTATAATTAAATTTGCCATTCCATCACATTTGACCGACAGTGGACAATATTCCCCATGTGCCTGTGTAAGCTGTTCTTCTAGAAGGAATTCAATTTTGAGGTTGATGACTCTCCTGTCAAGCAAGATACGACGATCTGATGACAAAAATCTGTGAATGAACATTTGAGCAACTGTAAGTCATAGTGGTTGTTACGACAAGTCCAGTGATTGTCACTATAAAGATGACACGTTATTGTTACTTTGGGAGTTTTTTTGAACACTTAACGTCTTTATTGTGGAGTAATGGAACTTACATAACACTGATTTATTTGGGGTCTTAATTGTCACTTTCCCTCTTGCTTTAAAAAAAGAAAAGGAAATGTTATATGTATATTGATGTTACTAATGTGTATTAATGTGTTAGACATTAATATTGCTGTTACTACTATTTATCGTTATTATTATTAATTTTTTTATTATTATTTATTTTTTATTATTGTTGTTTTTATTTATTATTACTATTATTATTATTATTAATATTAATATTAATTACAACCATTACTGTTATTACCATTATTATTATTTTCTATTTATGGTGTTCAATCTTATTGTTATCTTTATTATTTTTACCTTTTTATTATCATGGTCATTATCATTCGTATAAATGCAAATGGGAAAAAGAAATGTTCATTATATCCAACAGGCACTTATCCAACGATATGCAGCAACTTGCAGTCCTATCCTTTGAGGTCTGTCATCTGCAGAGTCCCTTTTTGTGGGTGGATTCTCTCCTTTCATATATATATTTATTTATATGTTTATTAAGTTTTGAATGCAGAAGGACTTTTTTTTTTTTTTTCAGTCTAGAATCCAGGAGCAAATTTAAGTTAATCCACTGATGCTGGGAACATACACTCTCCACTGTATATTTTTTTTTGTGTTGTTCATTCTTGTTCATACCAAGGTCTCCACAGGTGCGTAATTTCTAAGGGTACACTTACTGGACCTACTTGATTCACTGTTTGCCCTTTTGCTGTTATTAATATTATTAAAATTATTATTAATGTTATTTTTGTTGCTATTATTATTATTATTATTATTATTATTATTATTATTATTATTGCTATTAGTAGCAGTAATATGAACATTAATATTGTAATGTAATGTAATAACATTAATGTATTGTAATAACAAGAATAGTAATGTAAATTCAAGCATTTCTTTCCAAAAACTGAAGGAATAGGGTAAACAGAGAAGTTCAGTTAGGCCTATGGTTTGTCCTCTTGAGGACTATGCACGCAGAGCCAGTTATGTGTAAACAAAATTCATAAAATACGCTACTGGAGCTAAATTATAAAACAAGTGAACAAACAAAAATGAGGAAGTTAACTATAAAAAAAAAAAAAGGTGTGTGAGAGATCAATCGGTGACCAAACATTAGTTTTATTGTTGTTGATTTTTAAGTTCTTTTGTTTATTTATTTATTTTTATTCTTTGTTTTTCTTTTTTGTTTATTATTATGACCTTTTTTTTTCTCTCTCTTTTTTTTTGTGTACTGGTTTTTCTTTTTCTTTTCTTTTCTTTTCTTTTTTTTTTTTTTTTTTTTTTTTTTTTTTCTTTCTTTCTTTTCCCTTTTCTTTTTTCCTGTTATTAGAACAAGTTTACTATATCCTTACAGGAATAACTTGAAGGTACTTCACTGGAGCTTTTCAAAACTTGCAAGTAAAAGTCCCAACGTTGCAATTTGCGTAATTACTTGCTAAAAGAGTATACAACCCACTCAGCTCCCAAACCCCAACATAAGAAATTGTAGTAAAATCCTACAAGCCTCAAAAAGAGTTATGAAAAAAAAAAAAAAAAAAAATCTATGGCTATTGCACAGATCTATCGTTGGTTTTGGCAGATCAAGGAACGGGAAAGCAGCGGCCAGGCTGGTGGAATGCAAGTGTGATTACATTGAAGAAAACTCCTATATATACATAGAAGAAAAGGGGGGGTGGGGAAGAAAAAAAAAGTATATATGAATTATACTTTTTTTCATATAAAACTGTTTATTGCCACTTTGTGCTAAAATGATCTACTTCATCTATTGCAAAATGAAATTGTAATCTTAAGTCTGCTTTATTCCTTGTGTCATGAATTTCTCTGTTTACTAATAAATATAGTGTTATTATTTATTATATGTAAATTTAAGGGAGAAATATTAATATTTTAATAAACAAGCATATACATATATGTATATGAATGTGTACATGTGTGAGGTTTTCCCTTAAATCATAGATATATTTATCAGATTCTTTATAAATTTTTTTGTCACTTTTGAATTTATACATAGGCTTAACAAATGATATTTAACTTTATTAGTTTTTTCTTGATAGTAAATTACTGATACTGGAGCATCTCCCTTATAACCTATTGTATCATTAAGTGCAACATTGTTTTTATAAATAATTGAGTGTGCACATATTAATATGGCAGTTATGTACTTCCTTCAGAACCTCAACTTTTTCTTTTTAAGATGTCAAATCCTAGAAGTTGCACTGGAAGACTTAATGCAGCTTTTTGCAAATAAGTTTAGTCACAACTAGTCAGGTTGTAGTGAGCAGCAAACTGGGAACTTTTTAAGTGAAACCCCTTGTTAATAAGTATAGAAACGAAGAAAAAAAAAAAAAAGATTATAAAAAAACAAAACAAGAAGTGAAAGTAAAAAAAAAAAATAACAGTATATTTAATTTATGTACTTTTTAAATTGGTTATATATATATTTTTTGTTACTGTTCTTTAGTTTGACAAGTTGCTTTAATGCATAGGCCACTACTCATTATTGTGTATGATTAAGATGTGTATGATTTGTTAGTTATCATATTGGATTTTCATTGTTTCTTTGACAACATATTTTTGTTGAACTTTCAAGAACAAGATCAGGAAAATGGAGAACTCGTAGAATGCTCTTTGCAGTCCTTACATCTGTTAAATTTTATGCAGCAGACCGTACTCTCAATATACTTTGTGATTGTGGAAAAAAAAAGTAAGTCAAAAGTTCCTGAGATTCTGCAGGTATGTTGTTTATAAAGTTCTACGTGAATGTATTCAGTCCCTTAATTGTTCATCATCAAATGGTATTATCACAGGAAACAGGTTTTTTTTTATGACACGGAGAATTGTTTTTCTTTTTTTTTATTGGTTGTGTAGAGAAAATGCAAAATGAATAGCATTTGTTTTTGTTTTTTTTTAATGTCCTAATTGGTGATTCTTAGCCAATATGTTAGCAAAGCAAGTGATACTCATAAAACCAAGCAAAAAAATTGCAATGCTGATGTTCCTTGGCTGGCATTTGGTGCAAATGTTTTTTCTGCTATGGAGGGTTGGCAACTTTTGTATATTTGTATATAGGAAAACTGTTGCTATGTTTTCTTGTCAATATGAAAGTCACAAAGTTTGAGGTATATTTCTAGTAGAAAATTTATTGTAAATATTTTATGCAGATATGCATTGTCTCATTGTCATGAAACGATTGGTATAAAATAAAGGTGTTATACCAGCATTTCCTTTTTTTTCTTCCTAAAATTTCCACTACAAACACTTTTATTTTAGTTTATTAGCAATGGCATAGGCTGTGAGACTCCTCAAACCTCAACAAAAATTAAAATAGTCACTATTATTATACAATTTATAATAATTGTAATGATAATCAAAAAGTGTGAAAATGTGCTAATGAATCGGATACATCAAACATTCTTCAGGTCATTGGTTATATTCAAGCCATATCAGTTTAATAATAATAAGATGCTGCTGAACTGATACACTGTCTAAATCTTTTCTGTATCTGGTGCAATAAACAAGTATAGAGTAGGTTAGTGAGTGATTCAACAGTTAAGAGGTATAATCACTCGGCACTAGATTGCTGAAACTAGTTATTTAAGAGGTAATATGACAAGTAAAGTCACCCACAGCCATCCAATCTTTTGATATTGTTCCTTCTTTCAATTATCAATGAGAGTGTTAGTAATGTTTACGAAATGACCTTACCCCCTAAGAGATCAAGTCCCTATTACTCCAGCCATTCCTGGGAAATTGACAAACTTCGCCGTATGGGTAACTAACTGCCCCCCCCCCCAACCACCCCCAGGACTCCAACTGATCGCCGAGGACTTTGTATTTTTCTCTTTGGTAATTAAAGTGCTATAACTTTTCCTGTAGATGTATACCAAAGTATTACGTGTTGTACAACTTTCTTATTATCAACTTGCGAAGGTAATACCATAGCTGAAAAATGTTTTCTACCATACTGTCCATTACAAATTTTACCCTGTAATTCATGGTTGATGGAAAGTGAAACCATACCAAAGATTTTATTAGAAAAAAGGGGTAAACATTCCATGTTCATTTCTCAGGCACACTACGCTGACCTTGACGCCCAGTTTTCAAATTCCATATAACTTAGAACTGTTGCTCACTAGACATGACGACAGGCTATACACATATATGAAAAAAAAACAAAAAAACATGGATTTCAAGGTGCACACGTAACAGGAAGAAATTCCTCCCAAAATGTATTCGTTATAAACTACTACTCGGAAAGCAGATTCCAGCAGTCATTTTCAGAATCTGGTTTCGAAGTTAAACCCAGACAATTGAAAAGATGTGCCAATGTAACTATTGGCGTCGATTCCTTCGCAGCCCTGGTTTTGCAGGTATTTAAGAATAAAAGGAGAAATACGGATCCCAAAATTGCAGAGAAATACTTTTAGAGCAGGAAGATATACGGTTTTCTAACATGAAAATCACTGAAAAATAGTAACTAAACATGCACAAACATTTTGTAAGGGCAAGCAAATCATTGAAAAAGGACATACGCTATTTTTTTCCATGAAATCTGAGCTACAAGGTACTTTTTTCGAGCGCTCATATACCATTCCTAATAAGCGTATAGAAAAAAGCTGAGAGATGTGATTAGTGGCATGCAAAAAAATGAGTTATTAGGCCATTAGGATCGCCTTACAATATCCTGATAGTATATACCCTTAACGATCAATAAAAAAATACTAGGAATGAGGTATTGGCCCGGTCATTAAATCGGGCCTCGTCAACGGCCATTATTAATTTCCCTTGCTACTTTTTAGGTTAAAGGAGCCTTCTTCATGTCTTCAAAGAACAAAACTACCACAATGCTCGGGAGAACAGCCAGGTATACATAGATGATACTTCTAATAACTTCAAGTTATTAGAAATATCTAATAACATCTCTGAAATTTGAGAAATATATTTTGCTGGAGGTAATGACATTAGGCATTAATCTAACAAGGTGATTTTCTAAGGGACATGTGAAAGTTAGCTAAAGTTAGCTGTATAAAAAAAAATCAGCTTTTCTTGTATAAAATTATCCTGAGAGTCAAAGCAGTAATAAGGGATCCTATTTTGGTCTTTGTCGAATTTTCTCACACCAAATTATTTAAGTTTTTTGTCTACTTAGCAAACAAACATCCTTTAACCCAATGCCGCCGGGTATGACGTGTACGTACGTGCTATGCCCACCGTGAGTACTTGTTAGATTGTTTTTTCTCATAGATGGCAACACTTGTACTAACTCCCCAATGAGCCAGTTACGAGCACCGCCCGTCTCGCCCGTTTACCCGTTTCTTTGATTTACGAAATATTTTACGTTATCTTATTTTGCTGTTACTAATATTTAAAAAAAACATAACAAAAATATAATGTTTATGATAAAAATACACCGTCGATTTTCATAGCACTAGTGAAAAATACGTTTTTCCCGCCATTTCACATCAGGCGCTAGCAGAGCCATCTATCGGCAGACATTGGGGCACAGCATTTTCCCCATTTTTTGTTCATTTTC